AAAACTTCTGATGATAAAAAGTTCTTCCCGATACGCTGGGGCGGTGAGTGGCTGCCCACCACTCCCCCACCTGGTGAGTGGCTGCCCACCACTCCCCCACCTGGTGAGTGGCTGCCCACCACTCCCCCACCTGGTGAGTGGCTGCCCACCACACACACCTGGTGAGTGGCTGCCCACCACACACACCTGGTGAGTGGCTGCCCACCACACACACCTGGTGCCTGGCTGTCCACCACACACACCTGGTGAGTGGCTGCCCACCACACACACCTGGTGAGTGGCTGCCACCACACACACCTGGTGAGTGGCTGCCCACCACACACACCTGGTGAGTGGCTGCCCACCACACACACCTGGTGCCTGGCTGCCCACCACACACACCTGGTGAGTGGCTGCCCACCACACACACCTGGTGAGTGGCTGCCCACCACACACACCTGGTGCCGGGCTGCCCACCACACACACCTGGTGAGTGGCTGCCCACCACACACACCTGGTGAGTGGCTGCCCACCACACACACCTGGTGAGTGGCTGCCCACCACACACACCTGGTGCCTGGCTGCCCACCACACACACCTGGTGAGTGGCTGCCCACCACACACACCTGGTGAGTGGCTGCCCACCACACACACCTGGTGAGTGGCTGCCCACCACACACACCTGGTGAGTGGCTGCCCACCACACACACCTGGTGCCTGGCTGCCCACCACACACACCTGGTGAGTGGCTGCCCACCACACACACCTGGTGAGTGGCTGCCCACCACACACACCTGGTGCCTGGCTGCCCACCACACACACCTGGTGAGTGGCTGCCCACCACACACACCTGGTGAGTGGCTGCCCACCACACACACCTGGTGCCTGGCTGCCCACCACACACACCTGGTGAGTGGCTGCCCACCACACACACCTGGTGAGTGGCTGCCCACCACATTCTCCCAGCCATGATGAATTAATAAAAATTACGCGTAAAATAAGCTGTATTTTTTTTAATGAATTTAATTACCAGAACAAAATTTTATACACATTTTTTGTATCTTTTTTTTGTAAACAAATTATAAAATTTTGGGGAACATTCGCAAGGTAATAATCGGTTATTCTCATAATTACGCGAGGTATACCTCCTTATTTACCTTAAGGTAGAGGGTAAGGTAAAGCTTCCCTACATGAGGGAAGTTTACCTTCATATAGGAGGCAAACTGCTCGTTATCTACCCTAACATAGGAGGCAAACTGTTCATTGTTTAGCCTCAACTAGGTAGTAAGGAGCACCTGTTTGCTCGCAATAGGTAAATATCTCCTTTATTTATATTCAAGGTAAAGCGACAGGAGTTTACCCTCCAAGAGGAGGTAAAGAGGTCCACATTTATACTCACGCGTGACTTAAACAACATTTAGACCATTCTTACACAGCCCGCACAATGGTTCAGTACTTACATCCAGCAGTTATTTAAAACTGCTTTACTGTTAACCAATAAATTCCTGCAACAGAAGGACTCGCACACACGCACTTGCACACGCACGCACTCTCACACACGCACGTCCTCGCACACACGCATTCACATACATGCCCTGAGCCCAGTAGGCTCAGGAATCTGTACACCAGTTGATTGACAGTTGAGAGGCGGGACCAAAGAGCCAAAGCTCAACCCCCGCAAGCACAATTAGGTGAGTACATGTCCCGCACACAGTGACCCCGAACAAGGGGACACAGGTGGAAACTGAGTACCCACATGAGCCACAGAGACTTCAGAAAGAACTTCTTCAGTGTCAGAGTAGTTAACAGATGGAATGCATTAGGCAATGATGTGGTGGATGCTGACTCCATACACAATTTATAATGTAGATAAGAGCCCAGTAGGCTCAGGAGCTACTGAAGACAGGCCAGGAGCTACTGAAGACAGGTCAGGAGCTACTGAAGACAGGTCAGGAGCTACTGAAGACAGGTCAGGAGCTACTGAAGACAGGCCAGGAGCTACTGAAGTCAGGAGCTACTGAAGACAGGCCAGGAGCTACTGAAGACAGGTCAGGAGCTACTGAAGACATGCCAGGAGCTACTGAAGACAGGTCAGGAGCTACTGAAGACAGGTCAGGAGCTACTGAAAACAGGTCAGGAGCTACTGAAGACAGGTCAGGAGCTACTGAAGACAGGCCAGGAGCTACTGAAGACAGGTCAGGAGCTACTGAAGACATGCCAGGAGCTACTGAAGACAGGCCAGGAGCTACTGAAGACAGGCCAGGAGCTACTGAAGACAGGTCAGGAGCTACTGAAGACATGCCAGGAGCTACTGAAGTCAGGAGCTACTGAAGACAGGCCAGGAGCTACTGAAGACAGGTCAGGAGCTACTGAAGACATGCCAGGAGCTACTGAAGACAGGCCAGGAGCTACTGAAGACAGGCCAGGAGCTACTGAAGACAGGCCAGGAGCTACTGAAGACAGGTCAGGAGCTACTGAAGACATACCAGGAGCTACTGAAGATATACCAGGAGCTACTTACTCAAGGAACATGTAGACACCAGTGGCCTCCATGGCCCGGTTGATGCCCTTCCAAGACTTGACCATGTTGAACTTCTGCTTGGCTGTGAGGGGTATACGAGGGTCAAGGGGAGGGGGGGCGGGTGGCTCTGTCACCCCCCTGGCACTCTTCTCCTGCCCCTGGTTCCTCAAGAGTGCCCTCGATAACTGGCACCCCATGGCACTCAGCCGATTCGCCTGGGGCCTGCGCGCCACACACTCTCATCAGCCACGAACTATCGCCTCATTGACTACCAAAGACACTTAAGAGGCAACAATGAGGAAGGTGTGCCTCATACACCGCCTCACCAGGCCTCCTCTACTCTCCCTCACTCTCCGCTCTTACTCAACTGGGGTTTATATCATGATAGTTACGTCACACCTACGATGCCTCGCCTCAGGTGCTGCACACGTTTGTCAGGTGTGTGTGTGTGTGTGTGTGTGTGGAGGTGAGGCGAGGACAGGTCCACCGTCCACGGGTGCCACACACATACTGGAGGGCGCTCCACCTGGAGGCTCTCCCTTCACCCCTCTCAACACGTTTCCAGATTTGCCCATCTCCTGGAATCCTCTCCCCCCTCCCCCCCTTCTCTCACTCTCTCTCACTGGCCTTCTCTCACTCTCCTCGATCATGCGGGTTTATCTCCCTGTCATCACCGGCTATATATCGTGGGCGACGCCGGGGCAAACTGCCAATCACAACCGTTGTAAAGACTGGGATTGGTGCCAATAGCCAGTCACAATATTGAGGGAATAATCACTAATGGGAAACGCAGCCATTATTGATTTTCTTTCCTCTTGACACAGGCTGTGCTTTAAGACTACTCCTGGCTGCTGCACCATCATGTCCGCCGCTACAACACTACGGGTGTATGGAGCCCCACCACCGGTGAAGGTGTCGTGGCGCCCATATTGTGGGCCTTGTGCGCACACCTCTGGCGCCAGGCACCGCACGCGCGTTTGTTGATTCATTCATGACGCTCTGGCCGGTCACCTGGCGCGCGCGCGTGTGTGTGTGTGTGTGTGTGTGTGTGTGTGTGTGTGTGTGTGTGTGTGTGTGTGTGTGTGTGTGTGTGTGGTGTGTGTGTGTGTGTGTGTGTGTGTGTGTGCTTGGTCATTCATGACACTGACCAGTCAGCTGGTGTGTGTGTGTGTGTGTGTGTGTGTGTGTGTGTGTGTGTGTGTGTGTGTGTATGTGTGTGTGTGTGTGTGTGTGTCTGTGTGTGTGTGTGTGTGTGTGTGTGTGTGTGTGTGTGTGTGTGTGTGTGTGTGTGTGTGTGTGTGTGTGTGTGTGTGTGTGTGTGTGTGTGAGTGTGTGTGTGTGTGTGTGTGTGTGTGTGTGTGTGTGTGTGTGTGTGTGTATGTGTGTGTGTGTGTGTGTGTGTATGTGTGTATGTGTGTGTGTGTGAAGGGAGAATGGTCTGGGTTACGGGCACAACATGGGCTGGCCCCATGTTCCCCCTTACGATGAAATGGTAAATTACACTAATTTCCAATCTCGCTACATATAAAAAATCCATCCTCACTAAGATTTATGTAACATATTACATGTTAGGATAAAGGGAAGGGTGAGAGAGAGAGAGAGAGAGAGAGAGAGAGAGAGAGAGAGAGAGAGAGAGAGAGAGAGAGAGAGAGAGAGAGAGAGAGAGAGAGAGAGAGAGAGAGTGAGAGAGAGAGAGAGAGAGAGAGAGAGAGAGAGAGAGAGAGAGAGAGAGAGAGAGAGAGAGAGAGAGCTCAGGTCTCTCATGCATATGAGAAATTAACATTTAATATGCTAGATGAATCTTATTAAGGCTGGTAGTTAGTGAATATGGATGTGGGGGGAGGATAAGGTGGTGAAGGATAAGGAAGGTGGTGAAGGATAAGGATGGTGGTGAAGGATAAGGATGGTGGTGAAGGATAAGGATGGTGGTGAAGGATAAGGATGGTGGTGAAGGATAAGGAAGGTGGTGAAGGATAAGGAAGGTGGTGAAGGATAAGGATGGTGGTGAAGGATAAGGATGGTGGTGAAGGATAAGGAAGGTGGTGAAGGATAAGGAAGGTGGTGAAGGATAAGGATGGTGGTGAAGGATAAGGAAGGTGGTGAAGGATAAGGATGGTGGTGAAGGATAAGGATGGTGGTGAAGGATAAGGATGGTGGTGAAGGATAAGGATGGTGGTGAAGGATAAGGAAGGTGGTGAAGGATAAGGAAGGTGGTGAAGGATAAGGATGGTGGTGAAGGATAAGGATGGTGGTGAAGGATAAGGAAGGTGGTGAAGGATAAGGAAGGTGGTGAAGGATAAGGAAGGTGAAGGATAAGGATGGTGGTGAAGGATAAGGAAGGTGGTGAAGGATAAGGAAGGTGGTGAAGGATAAGGATGGTGGTGAAGGATAAGGAAGGTGGTGAAGGATAAGGAAGGTGGTGAAGGATAAGGATGGTGGTGAAGGATAAGGATGGTGGTGAAGGATAAGGATGGTGGTGAAGGATAAGGAAGGTGGTGAAGGATAAGGATGGTGGTGAAGGATAAGGATGGTGGTGAAGGATAAGGAAGGTGGTGAAGGATAAGGATGGTGGTGAAGGATAAGGAAGGTGGTGAAGGATAAGGAAGGTGGTGAAGGATAAGGATGGTGGTGAAGGATAAGGAAGGTGGTGAAGGATAAGGAAGGTGGTGAAGGATAAGGATGGTGGTGAAGGATAAGGAAGGTGGTGAAGGATAAGGAAGGTGGTGAAGGATAAGGATGGTGGTGAAGGATAAGGAAGGTGATGAAGGATAAGGAAGGTGGTGAAGGATAAGGAAGGTGGTGAAGGATAAGGATGGTGGTGAAGGATAAGGAAGGTGATGAAGGATAAGGAAGGTGGTGAAGGATAAGGAAGGTGGTGAAGGATAAGGAAGGTGGTGAAGGATAAGGAAGGTGGTGAAGGATAAGGATGGTGGTGAAGGATAAGGAAGGTGATGAAGGATAAGGAAGGTGGTGAAGGATAAGGATGGTGGTGAAGGATAAGGAAGATGATGAAGGATAAGGAAGGTGGTGAAGGATAAGGATGGTGGTGAAGGATAAGGAAGGTGATGAAGGATAAGGAAGGTGGTGAAGGATAAGGAAGGTGGTGAAGGATAAGGATGGTGGTGAAGGATAAGGAAGGTGATGAAGGATAAGGAAGGTGGTGAAGGATAAGGATGGTGGTGAAGGATAAGGAAGGTGATGAAGGTTACAGGAAGATAAATGTATCTTATAAACGTCTAGATTTATTAGATTGATAAAGATAACAATATTAAAGATTATCATAAAGATTACCAGATAACCATATTCATCTGGTAAATCAAAGACATTTATGTGTGGGTCCACCTCACTGTACGATTGACCTGAACACCTGAATCATAGGGAGCACCGAAGGATAGGGTTGGGCAAGTGTTGCCTCACTCCGGCATCTACCTGTCCGCCAGGTCTTACATCTTCCCTCTGAGTCAATGGACGACCATCAAACACCTGTACGCTCCAAGTCGAATTCCTCTGGATGGTATTGTGATGTTGAGAATGATGTTGCTTAATACCTCCGTCCTGCAGATGAAGTGCAACACGTCTACTCAGTGTATTCGTGGTATGTGCAATGTTGCATATGTATACAGGGCTTCTCTTGAGGTTATCTTGAGATGATATCGGGGCTTTTTAGTGTCCCCGCGGCCCGGTCCTCGACCAAGCCTCCACCCCCAGGAAGCAGCCCGTGACAGCTGACTAACACCCAGGTACCTATTTTACTGCTAGGTAACAGGGGGCTGCAGCTGTACATGGTAGAGCTACACAGCTCCACGTGCTAGAACATATTTGAGTAAAATGGAAAATATCCGAGACAAAATGACTACAGCCAACGTGTATAATGACTACAGCCAACGTGTATAATGACTACAGCCAACGTGTATAATGACTACAGCCAACCTGTATAATGACGAAGCCATGTAAAATTAAGTAAAAATTATGCATAAAACAATTACGTATTAAAATATTTCGAAGAAAATGCACGGCGAAAATATTTTTATAAATCAGGTGTTTTGGAAGACTTGTCTCACCTGAGCAGGTGTGGAGGGGGAGCAGGTGTGGAGGGGGGGAGCAGGTGTGGAGGGGGAGCAGGTGTGGAGGGGGGGGGAAGGTGTGGAAGGGGAGGGTGGGTACTCTCCACAGGGAACACTAACCATCCATATATACCCTGGCTCACCCTCTCTTATCTCTGCCTCTCCCAAGCTCTCTCTCTCGTGCTTGTGTCCCCTCTCCCACACTCTCCCACACCGTCCCTCCCCATTACCCTCCCTTCTCTACCTCTCCCTTTCCCTCCCTCACATGTCCGTCCACGAATAAATGTGTGTATGTTGTATCACACTCTTGTATAGAATGCCTGTGTACATGTATGTATACATGTATGTACGTAAGCACGAAGCAAGCTGTCAACCTTATTGAAGGTGTAAGTAAGATACACTGTCAGCTCTCAGCCTGCTAACAGGAGTCAACAGTCGTCTGCTCCTGGACCCACCTGTGTGTAAAACTAGTAGGGTAAGGCTTACCTGAGCTATGGGAAGCCTTACCCTACCCTACTGCTACAGGGTGTACTAGTCTCTAGTACACTGCTGGGTGTAGTTGCTAGCAAGTCTGGTACCCCCCCCCCTCACCACTATAGCAATTCCTAAGTGACAAGACAAAATTTATTAAAGTGAAATTGCTTAATAAAATGCCTTCGGCTCGCGTGTCTTAGGTAGGGGGGGGGGTCGAGCGTGAAGGGGTCACTTACCTAGTTATGCAACGATCGGTCTCTAGCTACTGGGCCCCCGCCCTGTAACCATTAAACTGATGTCTCTTAGAAGATTATAAGACGAATATGAATTAAGTCTGTAGCATATTCAGGTGACCCCAGAGCCTGGTGGATGACCCCAGAGCCTGGTGGGTGACCCCAGAGCCTGGTGGGTGACCCCAGAGCCTGGTGGATGACCCCAGAGCCTGGTGGGTGACCCCAGAGCCTGGTGGGTGACCCCAGAGCCTGGTGGGTGACCCCAGAGCCTGGTGGATGACCCCAGAGCCAGGTGGGTGACCCCAGAGCCTGGTGGATGACCCCAGAGTCTGATGGGTTATTTTTTATGATTTAACAAATCATAACCCCAAGTTAGCTTGGTCCAGACACATCATGGTCCAGACGGCTGTGCGGATGTCTGGAGAGTTAAGAGACGGGAGTTCGATCCCTTTGTATAGCTTCAACATATTATAATCCCCAGTAAACTATGCATGCAGTTTAAACCCTCACAATCCACTAAACTGTTGTGTGATGGCTGGTTAAAGCACTTAATGGCGGGAATGTTGATATTTAATGTTGCATATCTGACCAAGAGTGAAGACAAGCCATTGCAACATTGTCTTCACATCAATACAAAATCTTGCAGAATGTCTTGCAAGATCTATGCAATATTATCTTATCGGTAGAGTTATCTGATTGGAGAACCTATGACGCAGATATTGCGTCGTGATGCAGAACCTATGACGCA